TTCATTCTTGTTCGCATATGCTGTACTTACAACAGGGGTTCAGGTGTTGGAACGAGCGCGAAAAGCCGAGGCGGAGGCTGCTACTTTGAAAACGCAGATGAAGAACGAGACTACGACGTCGAAGAAGAGTCTGCGGGAAATGGAGAGCGCGCTCGCCGAGTCGACTGCGTTATCGCAAAAGTCGGAACGGGAGTACCTCACGCTGAGGGATAGCATCAAGGGTCTTGTGGAGGGTTTCAAGGCGGACACGGCAAGGTTGAGGGACGAGATGGGGAAGAGGGAAGAGAAGGTCAGGGCTGAAGCGGAGGGGGTGGGCAAGAAGTATCGGCTGCTTCTGAAGGAGATTGAGAGTGCTGGCGATGGCCGGACTCAGGTTATGAAGGCGAGAGAGGAGGAGAAAGAGGCTGCGAAGAAAGTCGAGGAGGCGTGGGCCGCAGAGGTAGCGCAGCTCAAGGCAGACGTAGAGAGGAGTGACAAGCAGAGTGAGGAGGCTGTTGAGACAGCCAGGTGCGTTCGATCTTGTTCGCTTCCTCCTGACACTAACACTTCGGTTTCAGGCAATTGGCGGCCGAGCTAGCACGCCTTCGACGGTTAATGCAGAATGTCCCTCGACTGTCGACGAGTTTGGAGTCTGACCCTCCGTGATTGTGTTTTTGCCAGCCTCCTGCATTGCATTCGATGTATACCCACCCAACCGCTATTCTACTTGCATTTCCTATAAGTTACAATTGTATATTCTCTGCAATCCATTCATTCTGTCTGCATTGGACCTAGATCAGAGATTTCATTGTCCGGCATCCCCTCGGCATTCGTTTGACATTTTGTGATCAATCAGCTGAAAGCGCCTCTTGTGTTCGACCTCCTATAAAAGGGGCGTGCCGCGGAAGTTACTCAAACATCCTTCCTTTCTCTCCCCACCAAAGATTCGAATTTGTACAGCGATGGTATCCACTCTGTCGACTCCGATTACAGAGCTCTTTGGCATCAAGCACCCGATTATGTTGGCGGGGATGAATGTAGCTGCGTACGCGTCCCGTGTCCGTTAACTTGCGTTGCATCTAATGGATTTTCAGAGGCCCAGAACTTGCTGCGGCGGTCAGCAACGCCGGTGGGTTGGGCGTGATAGGTGGGCTGGGATATACACCAAAGATTCTGAGGCAACAAGTGCGTTGTGTTTTTCCTTCTTCTCGCCACTACTTATACTGGTAGATTCGTACCGTCAAAGATGGACTGGTCGACAAGTCGCTTCCCTTTGGTGTCGATTTGTTACTTCCTCAAATTGGTGGAAATGCACGGGCGACCAATGTGAGTGTTTCCCTCCTCTTGAAAACAAACTTCCAAACTTTTCGCAGTACGACTACACCCACGGAAAGTTGGACGAGCTCATCGATGTTATCATCGAGGAGAAGACGTCGCTGTTCGTCTGCGCCGTCGGCGTCCCATCTAAAGCCGTTGTGGATCGGTTGCACGAGGCTGGCATTCCCGTAGGTCTCCTCCACGCGTTCTACTGCATCTTATACAAACGTTGACAGGTCATGAACATGGTCGGCCACCCGAAACACGTCACTAAAGCGCTCGATGTCGGCGTTGATCTCATTTGTGCTCAGGCAGGCGAGGGCGGGGGACACACGGGAGATATCCCTGCGTCGATCCTCATCCCTGCATGCGTCGACGCCGTTCGTGGACGCGTGTCGCCCCTTACGGGCAAGCCAGTCTACGTTGTTGGTGCTGGCGCGATCTACGATGGCCGGGGTCTCGCGGCGAATCTCATGTGGGGTGCCGAGGCGGTGTGGGTTGGTACGCGCTTCGTTGCGAGCGTGGAGGCGAGCGCGCCAAAGAAGCACAAGGAGCTTGTTGTCAGTGCGGGGTTCGAGGATGCTGTTACGACTTTGATTTATTCTGGTCGGCCGTTGAGGGTTCGGAGAACGCCGTATGTGGAAGATTGGGAGCAGAATCGGCAGGAGGAGATCAAGGAATTGACGGGCAAGGGGATTATTCCGCATGAGCATGAGGTCGACAAACACCCCGAGAAATCGATGGAACGGGCGTGGCTTATGGGACGCATTTCGGCTGTGAGTCTTGTGTTATTTCTGCTTGTGTTCCAAATTGACTTGGATTCCAGCTCATTAAAGACGTCCTTCCCGCCAAGGTTATTGTGGAGAACATGGTCAACGAGGCGGCGGAGCAGCTTCAGCGCGGGAACAAGTACCTCGCGGCCAGATCGAAGCTTTGAGTGGTTCAAACTCTCTTTTAATGCAAGTTTAATGGGATTGTATCGAGGCCTTATAATCGCAATTTGTACAGAACAAAGAGTCAAGAAAGCAAGGTGCAAAGCATCGAGATGGTAGGTACTATTGGGAACGCGGCCGACGTCTCCTCACGGCAAGAGTCTGCGAACCTGGTGTCCCCGCGTAAAGAGTGCCCAGCTGGCGCAACTGCCTTTCCTTCAAAATCTAGCGGCCATCAGCATGCAAATTCTTCGGGAACAGCGGTATGTACTTACCTCGATGTGGATTTTGAGTCGCTGGATTTCCCATATACAACGGAGGACAGCGACCGAGTGGCCTTTGATTACCGCCTTGAATAGAGTTTGACATGGACAGGTTGACAGTGAAAGCCCGAGCCCTGTCTCGCGGATGACGGAGGCCTTTATTTGGAGGCTACGCAACGGAGGTCAGTAATTTTGCTTCCGCGGAATCTCTTCAACGAACCTCGAGAGCATCTGGGTGTAGATATCCGACCCGGAGAGAACGCCCGCTTCAAGTGCCGCGAAATGAGCCTCCTCGGCTTCGTGCAAGGTGTTGAGTAGGAGAGGGGTCAAGCGGCTTGGCGAGATGTACCGCAGAAGGGTGTATGCCGTGGTGATGAAGAGCAGAGTCAAGGCACCTGCACCCACCAGTGCACTCGCCAATGGGGCGTCGGGAATTGGGATTGGGGGAGCGGAGAGGGAGTTGAGGGCGGTTTCAAGTGCAGTAGCCGCGTCGGACATTTGAGAAGATGAGGAGGTTGAACGCGACCGCCTTTTTATATACCCGACGGTGAACTGAGTGTGAAATTTCTAGGTCCCCCCCCGTACTCCGCAGGTCATTTCATTAACCGCGGCCAATGGGCGTTGAAGATCCATGATATTCCCTTTGGTCTTGATAGATTATGCCCAGGGCCAAAATCCAATTCATTGCCAGATGATGGTTCTCAAGGTTCGAGCGCGCAGGCAGGCGCAGGCGCCCTGGTGTGCCGTCAGTTTGATATTCACTTGATAGATTGTGTCAGGGCAAATGGATTCGGAGATGATTGTCTGTGAAAGCTGTATTTCGCCGAAATGGTGCACAAGGTTGCGGTTTTTGAGCGAGGATAGAGCAGGATACTTAGGAGGCGGGTGGCTGTGATGAGATTCCCACGGTTCAAATCATGGTTCAAATTCAAATACAGTTTCTCGGTTGATTTCGGCCTGTTCCGCGACTCTGCCGGATTCCACCGTGTTGACGTGGAGAGGGCGCCCACTCACCAACCAAGATTCACGATTCATGCAACTTGACCATGGCCCAGGACTCGCAAGCGGTTGGCCTCACCCCTTCAGACCCCATTCATGGCCATGTACTCTCTGAAAAATCAAAACAATTGGACCGGGACACCTTCGTCTTTTTCCCCACAACAATGACCCCGACAATACTTCTCTTCGGGCTGAATCAGAAACTGACACCAATGTCTCCGGTAAAACTCTATCGCTGGATACAAACCATGAGCGCGGGGCGTACACTCCCGTTCTTTCTGTGTCCGGCGGAGATCGAGACTTATGGCATCTTCTGCTACTACATCCATCCAAACGGACCCTTCTTGGAGCCTGACTCGGAAGAACTGTTGCCTCCGGGAAATTACGCCTGGTATGAGGATCGTATGGGAATATTTCGCTCATGTATTGCTCCTCGATTCATTTCTTGACCAGGTAACTGCAAAACTGCCAAGGACACTTTTCTCTATGGTGTTGAAGAGGCCTTTAGTCTTCTGAGCTTCGAGTATCTGGTCAAGAAGCTCAATTAAGCAGAGGACACGGAGAAGGGGGTCGAGAGACTGAGGAAACTGGTGTGTTCAGCACGATTTTTCCGTAGCGTCTCTCACCATTTGAATAGTATAGGATCTCTCCTGACCTACAGAAATCCATCCTAGCCAGGGATTCACGCCGGTGCAGAGTGACCGACTCCACAGAGGACGTTATACTAACATGGATTGTACCCCCACCGTGGGCCTGGGCGGTAATGTTTCGAATCTCTAAGAAATTGAGATGTGTTGAATTTTCATGGACAGATGGTACGATCTGACGACCCGCCCAACTTTGACTCGTCTCCTTTCCTGGTACCAGAGAACATCATCATTTTGAGAAAAGAGCTCAAGGTCCACTTTTACAACCACAATTTTGCGGTTGATGTCGACGACGATTTCCGCATCGTCGTCTTCCGTGATATGGGCGCGGAGCAGGCCCTCCTTCCCACTCGTCTTGCCTCAGATAACTCTACCATGGCCGAATTCCTTCGTGTTCATTTTCGGGCCACGCTCAACTTCATGCTTCTAGGGGGCGACATTTCCGATACATATCCACCGGGAAAGATACTCTCGATGATGGATGAACTAGGTGTGGGGGACGACAACACAGACGACGACATGGTGCCGCTCAGCGACGAACGATGGCAGACGGAGCTTGGCAAAGCCATCCTTGCTGACCATCTCCAGAGCCGGATGTTGGATGAGGATTCGGACAGTTCTGCTGAAGGATCCGGAGTGGAGGAGTCTACTGAGTTTTACGAGGGCGCTGTCGGGTCTGATGAGTCGGACAATGATTAGATGGAACGTATATATACGACACCCTCAATGAAATATTACTGCTGATACTGAGAGTCAAAAAAGATGTGGCGAATTGACACCTGAAGCCAGCATTGCACCGGGAAAATGCCCTGACTTCGATGCGAGCGCGGGGTAGCGACTACCCGGAACCCGGCAAACGTGGGTGCCATGCGAGGGAATCGAACCCTCGACTCACCGGTCGACGCCGAAGCGGGCGCGGGGTGTGTTCTCCCATTGAACTACACGGACGCGAGAAACAGCCCCATTTCTACTCTGACAAAGGCCTCAGGCTCACAACATCAATGACAATTGCCGCTCACATTTTTTTTGAAACACAAGCGAGTACTAGACTGTACTAGACTCATCGAATAGGATCTCTGTGACGGATCCGGAATAACCGGTCTGAAGAAGTCTAAGATAATTTTGCTTCCGCCGCTACGCGACTGATTGACAGATACTGCCAACGGAACTCCTGGCCGTTATCTTCAAGTTTTTGTCGCCTAAGTAACTTTAAAGTATTCTCGTCGTAGCGCGGAGTGGCCAACGGTACATAAGGATTGTCGATCGAGTAGATTTTTCATCGTCCTTTAGATGATATGACCCATGATCATCCTAGAAACCAAAGTCCAGTATAAAGACACCGAAGCTTGATGACTTGCGTCCTCACCTTAGTTCAATGGTAGAACACACCTCCCCACGTCAGGGCGTGAGCGAGAGGTTGAAGAGACGGGGGTTCGATTCCTCCAGGTGACCATCCTAGGTTTGCCGGACCCCGGGCCCACAAAGCCCCGCGTTCGCGTCGAAATTCAGTAAGCATTCCTTCCGTGCAATGCTGGCTTCTATATATATATATTTTCGACTCCGAGTCGTATGGAAGTGCGATGTTCAGAGCTCGGGCAAATTCCAGCGTCTCCGGAATATTAGGCGCCATTTGACTCTTGAGCACAGTCTGCCCGCAAATCTGATGAGAATGCCCCAATTGCGATGACTTGGAACCCATCCCAAGGCGTTCAAGCCTGATGTGGCCTCACTGACCGGGGGTCTCCCGACTGTTGCACGAAACTGCGAGTGTTCCGAATCAGGAGAAAGTCTGAAAATTGATTGACATGCCGAGTCTGCCGACGGCGCTTACACTCGTTCATGAACGTCGCGTCTCTGCTGCAGGATTCCCCCTCCGAGCGTCGCGCCGCCAAGCCAGACGGTCGCAGCTGGCCAAAGCAGCCTCCTCCTCCTCCACAACCGCCTGCACCCGCCCAGCAGCCTGCATGGCCAGCACAACAACAGCCACCGTACCCACCACCTTTCGCTCGACCTCCCCCTGCCTACTCTGAGCCGTCCCCGATGTATGCACCCATGGGTGCTCTTCGCCAGCCACCCCCACGTGACTACCCTCAGCACTCGTGGCCAGGTGGTCCACCTCAACCACCGCCTCCCCCGCCACCACAGGGCGGCCAGCAGACCCAGCGCACTTTTCAAGGCCAGTTTCATACGTCGTTTGTAGCAGCACGCGAGGCTTCACCGCCGCCTCGCAAGGGAAACAATCCTGTAGTGCACAACAATGCTGTACCCAGGCGCGACTGGGATGGTCATGGTCCTGAACCTGCCGAGCACCCTCCATCTCGCGTGCCCCCACCTGTTCAGGAACCACCTGAGCGCGTCTTCCGTGCACGGCGGACTGTTTCGCTGGGCACCTTCGTGTTCCCTCAAACACCCTTTCCGTATATATTCCCGGAGGAGCCTGAACCTGCAGACAAGAAAGCTACCGACGACCCCGATCTCCTCTCCCTCGAGACCCGTGCGACGCTGTTCATACCCACCGCGCACCTCCCTTTTGCTCGTCCAGCACGTCCGCTTCGAATCTGGGGTGGCGGGCTGCCCGGCCCGCTTTACACCGATTCGACTCGGCCCAACACACAGGAACGTCGTCGGTTGTATACGGACGATTCGGATGTTCTCGGTGCAGCTGTTCATGCAGGGCGTCTGCGCTGGAGCCATGTTGCACGTGCCCGTAAAGAGAGCCGCGACATTCGTGTGGAGCTTAGGCTTGTCAGGGTGCTTGGTACGGGTACGGGCTTTGACGTGGCACCAGAGGAGGAGAAGGATAGGGAAAAAAGAGATGTGGTTCGAGGCAAGGATGTGGTGCCGAAGGATGTCAAGGACGGTGAAGCGGCGCCGAAGGACCTTGTTCCCAAGGAGGAGGCAGCACCAAAAGACAAGGAGAAGGACAAGGAAAAAGACAAGGAGCAGGGCACGGTGACGGAGGCAGTGGGACGATTCCTTGGCGCTTGGGGCGCCCGCTGTATACGGTCATGGGAGGACATACTCGTTCCTACTCCACCCACGCCCGTTCCGGATCGCAAAGAGAAGGACGTCCCAGACGACGGCAAGGAGGAGGGCGAGCTGGTCGAAGAACCGGATCCTCCTCCTCCTGTTGAGGTGGAGGAGAAACGGCCCGACCCTAAAACCGATGCTGAGGCCAGCTCGGACCCAGCCGACGATGGGCGCTCAGTGCTGAGTGCAGGCTGGGGTGCGGGTCATACCGGGAGTGCGTTTGAGATTCTCGAGGTGTGGATCGGCGAGGTTGGCGGGCATTCCATTCATCTACGCGGCCGACTACTAACTATATATGTTTTACAGAAAAACTCGGCTCATGCTTTGACGCGGGCCAATCGAGGGCAGCGTCTCAAAGAGTATGCAGAACGGCGTGCGGTCCTAGTGGGCTCGACGCCTTGTAAGCCTGTCGCAGGACGGAAGCGTCGTATGCGTTGGCCGCCTGTGTCCAGCCCGAATGGGCGTGTACTGACTGGAATCGAAGAGGACGAAGAAATGGACGTGGATGTCGATGTGGAGAGGGGATGGGGATGGGGTGTGGAGAGGGATCGGGATCGGGACGCGGTCAGAGGACGGACTGTCGTTTGCGGGTTTGGGTTTGGAGAGAAGGGGAAACTTGGGTACGTGACTTGGGTTTTTGACATTTCAGAACTTGATTTGAGGGGTTCAGATTCAAGTACGACCCGGAAACATTGAGGGAGGTCTTATTCCCTCCGCCACCGCCAGTGCTGGACGAGGGAGGGCCGGAAGCAGCCGAGGACGACGTCGATGTGAGGCCGAGGAAGAGAAGGCGCGTAAGTGGGCTGGAAGATGTCATTGCGGCAGCGGCCATGGAGGGTGCCGAAGCTGAAGTCAAGATGGAAGGGACGACGGAAGACGCGGGAGAAGCGGCTGTCGAGGTGCCGGTGTTGTCGGATGCAGACAACATCAAGCCGGATCCACCGCCGAAGCCGCGAGACGTGCTGCTCGAGACTGTGGACGGGGTGTATGTGCTCGCGCCGTCGACTGCAGAATGCACATGGGACGTCTCGAGGGCAGGCGTTGTTCTCCATCACGGCCTTGGAGATGCTGATGTTGAATTGGGAACAGATGCCGTGCGCTTTCGAGCTGGTCAAGGTGAAGAGTGGGGAGACCGGGTTGCTGTCGTGCTATGGAGATTTTCGTAGTATTTTTTTGCTTCAACTTGAACTTGCTTGCGAAACTGGAGTGTGGGGAGTGATCAAGACGGCGATCCATCAAATTCATTCCACCTGTCTTCCATCCTCCCGCTCCCCATGAGCTCCGAGTCGCGTTTTGGTGTCGAGTCCACACCGTGTCCTGGGCTCTACCTCTTACCTCTAGATGACTCTTTCTATCCGCCCAAGCGTATTCCACTCGCTCATGGCCGCGTGCGTATCGGTCGGCAGCTCAACCAGAAGACAGCACCCGCGGAAGGGAACGGTGTCTTTGAAAGTCGTGTTCTTAGTCGACAGCATGCCGAGGCTTGGGTTGAGGGCGACCGGGTGCGTGTCTTCTTTCCTTGTCGTTGCCTTTCAGTTCTGAATAATTGTCAGATTCTCATCCGGGATGTCAAGTCGTCGAACGGGACTTTTGTTAATGGGGAGCGCCTTAGTGTAGAGGGTCAGGAGAGTGAGCCTTATGAACTACGCTCCGACGACATACTGGTGAGTAGTACTACAAACAGTTCGTGCGCGAGCATTATCGGGAATTTAAACTCGGTGCATTCTCGAAGTCGCATTCTACAAGCTCTCGAGCTGCTAATCCGACCCTTACTGAATAACCTTTCAGGAATTCGGTATTGACATTATCGGGGAGCAAGGCGAAGTTGTGCACCGCAAAGTTGCCGCCCGTGTAACCTGTGGACTCACTCCCGCCGACGCACAACGTGCCATCCGTGCCGAGCAGCGGATTTACCCACCTGCACCGCCTGCACCCTCCTCCTCTGCATTCAACGCCAACACCCCGGGCAGCACTCCAGGCAACACGCCAGGTCCTCTACCACCTGCACCTGTACAAGGCCTCTTTGTCGCCCCAGCTTCGGGTCCTGGTGCCCCCCAAGTTGGCACTCGGAGACCTCCTCATGCATCCGGCTTGACGGGTATGGGCGGTATGGGTGCAGAGCCTATCCGACCCAAGTCGGTCGATTTTGACTCGATACTTGCGAGGCTGCGCGATGGGCCTGGGTCGTTGCGTCTGCCTGGTGAGCGAGAACGAGAACATGAAAAGGATGCAAGACGGATGGAGAGTCATGCCAATGGGTTCGTTGGAGAGGCGCCGAAGCAAAACGGACAGAGTTCTGCGGCAGGCGGGGAGAAGAGAGAGGAGGGCAATAATGGTGCTGAGGAAGCAAAGGAAACGATGGCGGTGCTGCGAATGCAGTTGGCAGAGACGCAAGCGGCACTTGCGCGGCTTCCTATGTTTGCCGATGCTTTCCCGGGTGATTCTGCACCAGAGAACGAATCGCCGCTCATGGCCAGTGCGCGGGATTTGCGTCAAGCATTGGCCACGCTGAGAGAGGAAGTAGGGGAATTACATCGGGTGCAGCGACAGCGCCGGCCTGCAAGGAGCGGCACTCTGCGGGCGGTCCCGCGACATTTGGGGAATCACAAAGGGAAAGGGAAAGCCAAGGAGGTAAAAACCTCGAGTTCACGGAACGACGCGGTGCGAAATGGGGACCCGAAGGAGTTTTGGGAGCGCCAGGATGGGGGTCCTTCGGGCGAGTGGATCACCGATTTGGAGATTGACCCGACGGCTCACGTGGAAGAGGGCCGCGCGCATGCAGTGGAAGAAGACCGAACACCTCAAGTTGGCTATTCGACGCCTGCGTATGTGTATACTTTGGAGGATGGCGGCCACACCCGCCCGGATGCACTCGCCAACCCTGTTACGCAGCCATCCTTCTTTTCCGCGGTCGTTTCCGAGCCTGAGAGCGAAGTTACAACTGCGACGCTCTGCACACAGGTGGATGTTCTCGACAAACAACTTGTTGCATTGCACGAGCGGCTGGCGTCCCTGCAACCCACTGAATCTGAATCTGGGGACGTAGATGCTGCTGATGCTTCCCTCGGGGCCCTGGTCGAGCGCGTGGATCGACTCGAGGCGCAGATCAGCGACGTGAACGCCAGACAACAAGCCTCGCGTTCAGAATCTGCTGCTGTTGAATTACGGCGAAAAGAGCTTCAACAAGCGAGAGAGCGGGAGCAGGAGGAGATGAAAAAAGTGCTCTGCGTGGGACTGGCGGCCCTGCAAGCCGAATTCCGGGCGTTCAAAACAGAGGCAGGGGCACTTTCTGCGCCGCTTAGCATGCCTGACGCTCCAGTGCCGAATGGCTATACCCCGTTGCGTCTTGGAAAGGAGTATGGGGTTTATGTCCCAGATCCTGATGCAGGGTCCGAGGGAGAGTCCTCTGACGACCGGGGCTCGAGCGAGGAGGAGGTGATCCAGAAGACAAGTCACGGCCGTGATGCGTCTGGAGAGTCGGTTACTGTTCCAGGGAGGTGGCGTTGGGGCCTGCTGACGCCCGCGGGTAGCGTTGCTTCGCGGTCTTCTGTCCGTGCGGATGGGAATGATTCTAAGACGAGTTCCAAAAACACAGTGGTGGAGACGCAGATGCCGGTACTGGAAGAACCAAATCCTTTCCTGCTGGCTGGCGCCGTGGGCGTAGGCGCGATGCTGGTCGCCGCTGCTTGGTGGGGCTCGTGAAAGAGTCCCTCCACCTAATATCTTTATTCTTTTCACGACACGCACACTCATTTGTTCTCCATTGTAACGACATACGGATATATACCACGAAATGTACTTATTAGACGTCTCTACCTAGAGTAATGAATTCGGCACCGTGTTTGGTTACGATCACTTTCTCCCTTCGACAAAGCATGGACGACGAGACGGCGGAGATTGAGCTCGTGCGCCTCTTGACTCGTCCGACCCATGAATTCCATTGAATGTTTTGTCAGTTGGAGCAAAATCTCAACAAAACTCGTCAGATTTCGCAGCGGATGACCAGTACGTGGTGGCTGATCGAGTAGCCGCGACAAATGCTCACCAGCGTCAGCAATCCTAACAAGTTTCGACACGAGGCTTGCCAAGCTCGAGAAATCTATCCTTCCCTTGTATACTTCGACGCAGATATTGAATAGACGGGCGAACAGTGAGTAGCATCAATCGCCTGCAACGTTTGCCGCAGACCCGGAAATCGCAAAACCAGACATCGAAAAGGCGTTGGTCAAGATAGATGAAGTGGCCAGCAACCAAGAAGGGATAGCTGCAGAGGAAGCACTCATCTTACGCGGGTATGCTTTACCCCTGTACTGTATTTATTCCCTCTCACCACCCGCATGCTAGCCCACAGCCGGGCCAGATCCCCGTTTACCAGGAGGCCCTGGAGCGTTTAAACGCGTCTATCGCCTTCAAATCTTCTGACCGCGACTCTCTCGACACGGCGCGCCTGGTGGAGACTGGCGCCAAGAAGCTCACCCAGTTGTACACCAAACTCGTGGCCGAGGCCTCTACTGGCGCTACACCTCCTCCCAATGCTGAAATATCTGCGGCTTCATTCAATCCCGCCATCCTGAACACCCTGCGGCCTATTGTGGCTTTCATGCGAACACTACCGCTTCCTGCATCCCATCCATCGCATCCTGCTGCCCCAGCGATCATGTCTACGCTTAAAGACGCGCAGAAGGGCTACGCTGACATGCGTGGTAACTGGAGTCGCAAGTGTCTTGAAGCGCAGGGCAAACGGGTTGTCGACCGCGCCGACTCGATCGATCCCATTGTCGCTGGCAAGGACTTTGGTCGTTGGGTCGAGTCACTGATGAATGTAGCGGATGTGTGTATTCCTTCTTTTTGGTTGAACCGATACTTATTTTTTTTTTTGCAGGAAGAGTACAAGCTCATCAAGGAACTCAGTCTACTCAGCAGCCCGAACCTTGTCGCTTCTTCCTACAACTCCCTCCTCAACCCCATCCTCGTCCTGTTCAGCACAACTTTGACATCTCTCATTGCGTTCATCAAGCGCTCACTACACAAATACGCATTCCTCGCCCTTGCTTCATACGAGACATTGCTTGCGCTCCAGCCAAGGTGGGATACTGTCCTATCGCGCCGCGGGTCGGAAAACTCCAAGGCGAACGAGTTGAAAGATGGGCTCGGTACATTGCGTGGCGTCTGCCTTCGCTCATTCCCCGAGTTCCTTGCAGATATCAAGATGGCGTCACTAGGCAAGACAACGGCTGGTGGAGATGCTGCCACGGGCGTTGCGGACTTTGCCAGCTCTGCTGTCAAGTATCTTGACAGGTTACCGGAGGTGCATAGCGCGGCCAGTGCGGCGCTTTTGCAGCTTGGAGATGGGAATTGGAAGATGGGCGAGGGGGTGCAGTTGGCCAAGGGTGCCAAGCTTGGAGAGGGAGATGAACAAATCATCATTGAACATTTTGTTTGTGCGTTCTCACTTTTTTCTTCTGGAGATGTCTCTGTTAACTGGTCCAGACGACGTGGTAACGACGGCCATCAACAGTCTAACGACCATCTCGCGTACCCAGAAGCGACCCGCGTTTGGGTCCATGTATCTCCTCAACAACATATTTTATCTGAGGCATAACCTCATCCTCTCACCCGCGCACGATGCGCTCCTGGATCTGCTCTCCAAACCCACGCAGGACGCGCTCAACTCAAACTACCGTACCGCCAAAGCGGCGTACTATGACGCCAACTTTGCGCCACTGCTACAGATGCTGACCGACGACCCTGCTGGCAAGGGGAGCAGCAGCAGCGCGGCGAAGAGCGCGGTGAAGGAGAAGTTTACCAAGTTTTATGAGCTGCTGGATGAGGTGCTTGAGCGTCACAAGGGTACGCGGTTGTTGGAGGATGATCCAGAGGCACGGGCGGCGATTGGGGAGGATGTGGTGAAGTTGGTCGTTCCTAGTCTTGTGCGGTTTACGAACAAGTATCGGGAGAAGGAGTTTAGTAAGAGTGCGTATCTTTCTCTCTCTCGGTGCTTCGTCAAAGTGGATGACTGACTGACTTGTACTGTATTCAGATCCGCAAAAATGTAAGTACCTACGGCGTTTTTCTCTACTTTGTGGATACTGATTCATTTGTCTAGATATCAAGTATTCGTCGGAAGCAGTCGAGTCGCAATTGAGGGCGATATACAGATGAAATGCCTTGTGCATTTTTGGGAGGTTGGATGTATTGTATTCCTATTTTGTATCAACTCTTGCTTGACGGTTATTCGGACGAAGATTGCTTCCGTCGCCCGTTGATTGGCAGATACTGTCATCGGCGTGTTGACCGTGACCCATAAAGCCGGGGAAGTTCGAAAGGCATCATCCCCTCCTTAGTTCAATGGTAGAACACATCTCCTCCACGCCAGGGCGTGATTGAGATGAGACGGTGGTTCGATTCCGCCAGGTGGCACAATTAAGGTCTGCCGGGCCCCGGGCCAAAAAGCCCCGCGCTCGCGTCGAAGTTTCAGTACGCATTCCTTCCGTGCAATGCTGGCTTCATCTCTTTTTTTTTCCTTTCTTTTATCTGGCTACCCGTAAACTGGCATCAGTTCGGCATCATGGAGTTGAATCAAATATCGATGTGATATACACAGCCTCTGATTTTCAACTCTCTTCCAACCATCACCATCACAGGTAAGCTTCTCTTGAACCTCATTATCGTCCTTCTAGCGCCATCGGATATTGTCAGCAAGTCACGGACGCGTGTGAACTCCACCTTTAAGTATATCGCCGAGTGGGACCTTGACTTTTGCTTGCGAAGAATCTCGAAGGCATTCAATACATTTACCGCCATTGAGTCTGAAAACCATCTATCAAGTGATGTTCTGGTGTCGTTCACATGGTCTGCCTTGTCCACCATCCCGGCCTCACCAATGCCATTAAATGGACGGCGGCCCTCGGCATCGACATCCAACACACCGGAATGCTACAGAGCTGGGATTTCGACATTTGAACGATGACAAAAACCGGGTTGACGTCAGATGAACAGTCATGGTGCATGCAATCGACGGGTAATAGGGCTATGATCAGCTGCGGGTACGGGTCCGGGTTCGCAGCTGAATTCTTTGCAGACCGGCGGGTACCTCCAGGCTCCTGCACCCCGTGGGAATAGGCCAGACACCGCCGAATATGTCCTCCATGAGTACGGTGAAGACGAGGACTGTGAGGCTGCTGGTCATGCATCCTGCAGGCATATTTCAGTACTTGCTTTTTTTTTTTTTTTTTTTTTTTTTGACTCAATTTTATTTAGCCTGGAGTACTTGCACTACGGTAGCCATACTTCTACACTTGCTGTGTCTATTGTCCGATTTGAATGTAAGCGATGATTCCCAGTCAGAGGCATTTTGTCTGGTGCAGTGCAGAGCAGACGGTTGCGCAAGGGGGCGCAGGGATATTAGTATCCGATGGTATGTTAGTTGGGGTAAAGGCCCTTGGGCGTGTAATAAGGTAAGATATTGGAAGGTGGGACATACCTGCGTAGAGCGGCCAGACGGACAGGACAGGTAGGGCGACGGAACAACGGGGCGGGGCGGCTAGGGCGGTGCTGCGACGATTATTGCAAACGCGGGGTGCACGTAGGGATTAGACCGTTGCGAGACTCGGTGGCACTCAGCGCACTCTCTCGGGTTCCGGGAGGTCACCATGTACTGCGTGGAAGCGTCCGGATCTGGCGATGTAACGGAAGAGGTGGGGGAGGAGCTTCTTCGTGCGGAGAAGAGCATGGACGCCGACGGCTCGCCCACAGGCCCGAAGGAGTTCGCGTCTAGCATCGGCGTGGGCTGGACATAGGAACAGGAAGTGATGCACCGTTTCGTCGTGACGACGGCAACACGGGCAGATGGGGGAGTCCGCTTTCGAGATGCGATGCAGGTGCTTTGCTAACGGGGCGTGTCCGGTTCGTAGTTGGAGGAGCAATACGGCGTGGCTGCGTGGCAGCAATTTGGTGAGTTCGAGGTATGTCCCTTTGTGTGGCTGGTCGCCGAATACAGCGGTGCGTTGATAGCGGGGGGATTTTTTCCACGCGGTAATGACACGACGTTGGAGGCCAGCCAGGTATTCCTGTTTTGCCGTCAGTACTTGCTTGATGGATGACTTCAGCAGATAAACCCACCAATAGCTCGAAAATCCACCGCGCATTTTGCGGGTACGGGGACGGCAGGCTCCTACCCAGCCGCACCTTACGAGGTTGGGGGAGTGTGTCGGGGTGTATTCACAGTGATATCTGAGTAGCGTAATCAGCAAAGACATATCAGTGTTAGCCGAGACAAAAACATCCGAACTTCAAGGCCCCAACCTCTCCAGGGCGGCTGGCATTTAACAAGCGTAAACAACACAGCCACATTTCGCGAAAACGCCGGGTCTGAACATTCACACTTGTTCGGGAAAATCGTAAATGTGCTGGGGCAGCTCTGAAAGGCCCCAGACGCCAGTGGCACTCGAGCTGCGAGCACCAGTGACCCCGAGGAAAAGGTTCGTGAACCGCGCCTGGGCCGGTGGCTATGTTGTTTACGCTTGTTAAACGCCAGCCGCCGTGGAGGGGTTGGGCGTTTGAAGTTCGGGTGTTTTTGTCTCGGCTAGCATCAATTTGTCTATCATGATTACTCTACTCTGATTAAGCCGTGAGTGCCCTAGACATACTGCCCAACCCCGGAACGCGCGGGGGGGTAGGAGCCTGCGGGGACGGGTCATCGCGCGGGTGACCGGTGGCGGTCACTATACAATCCTTGCATCTGACTGGTCTATTTCCATCAAATGCAGCCGACTCTGAGATAAAAGTTCACCCCGTTTTCTGGCCGTTATCCTGCATGGACACTTCTGCCTCCCCGAGAATACTCATTGTGCGTCGTCGGACCGTACGCGCAACATCATTCTAACAAAAAATAAAATTTCAGGTTGGCGCAGGCCCTTGTGGACACACCCTCGCCCTCGCGTTGCTTCGCAATGGCATTCTCGTTCGATTCATCGAAAAGTCTCCCACTCCGAATATCGGCCAGCGCGGACCAGGCATAATGGTCAGTGTCATGCAATTGGTCCTCGCCTTGCAGCTGAAATTCCAATGTAGCCGCGTACGCTGGAACTCTTCCACTTCCTCGGTGTTCTCGATAGAGTGTATGAAAAGGCGATACCTGTGCCGCAAATCCGCGTCTATGCTCCCCAGCAAGGGTTTGCCGTTCCTCTCAAGACATTTCACATGTCAAAACCCCTGGATCCTACTCCATCGTTGCCAATCGTGCGTTATTCAATGTTGACTGAAGCAGAACCAACATCGAATTTCACAGCGAACCCCGGCCTGCATTGGCCAAAACCTTCTCGAATCTGTCCTCCGCACTGTGCTCAAGGAGGACTACGGCTGCGAGGTGGAGTTTGGATCTGAGCTCGTTTCGTTGACGCAAGACGCTGACGGCGTGGACGCTACAATCCTCCACCGTTCAACTGGACGCGAGGAAGTGACGCGGTTTGACTATGTTGTGGGCACCGACGGCGCGCGTGGTATCGTGCGCAAACTTTTGGGCCTTTCTTTCCGCGGCGAGTCCCGTCCCGAAGTCAATTTGATCATCGGGGATATCCATATCGACGGAGCGACCTCGGATGTGTTTCTTTTTTCTTTCTTTCTAGCATACCTGACAAGTAAGGCTCAGTATTGGCACATGTAGGGTGAAATGAATGGTGATTGGTGCGTTCTTCGTTTTATCCGTGCTTCCAGCCTTGGAAATCCAGTTGTTCTCCAGTGTGTATCTGCGGCCGACGGAAACCCCGGGCTTGTTGCACTATTCATGGGCACAACGCTCAAAGACGACTACGAACGACTCACCACTGATCAAGGCGCACTTCAGACGGCCATACGGAACATTACCGGTGTAAAAGACCTCGTGGTGAGGGAAGTGGCGTGGATATCGCAGTGGAAGTACGCATAGATATATTTGACTCCGCTGATTGCTGAATTGATTTTTCCTCAGAGCTAACATCCGAATGGTTGATAAGTTCCGCGACGGTCGTTGTTTTGTTGCGGGAGGTACACTCTACTCTTCTGTTGAAATCGCCGGGCTAACTAGCTGCTTCCAGATGCCGCTCACATTCATAGCCCCACTGGTGGTCAGGTACGATAAACTTGACCACGCACATGGTCAATTATTCATTGCAAACCACAGGGTCTCAATTCAAGCGCCCACGACGCGTTTAATTTAGGATGGAAACTGGCTCTCGTCCAACGCGGCCTGGCACCCGAGTCACTCCTTGACTCGTACAACCAAGAACGCCTCCCAGTTGTCACCGAGATGCTCGCTGCCACAACGCAGTTACTCAATCGCAGCGTCCGGGCTACGAATGAAGACGTGTCGCACTGGGATCGTGGGGGACCACTCTTCATGCTCGGCGTCAACTACCGGTGGAGTCCCTTTGTTCTGGACGAACGGTTTCAGGGAGAGGAGAAGATACCCGCAGATGCGTATGGTGTGAATTCCACCGACCTCAGAGCTGGAGATCGTGCTCCCGACGCCCCTGGGTTGAAGGATTTCCATAGTGGCAAGACTGGCCTGCGGTTGTTCGACGTGTTTGATGCGGCTCGTCATACAGTGCTCGTTTTCGCAGCAGCGCCAGAGAGGTACGCTGGAATTATGCAGGTGCTTGCGCGCGTTCCGCGGGATGCGGTGCGTTGCGTCATCATTGTCCGTGGAATGCATGTAGATATCCGTGGTCCGGATATGATTCTGGACGATACGCTGGGGCATGCCTACTCGATTTATGATGTTGGGGACTGGAATACTGTGGTGGTAAGACCAGACGGAGTAATTGGTGCTGTCGTTAAGAGTTGCCAGGCGTTGGAGAGGTACTTCGAGACGGTATTCTTGTAACAGTGTTATCCGACGGTTCCCAATCATCAATCTTATCTTCTCTCACCACCATCATGGTTGACCGCCCTAGAAAGCCGAAAGCGCCGACGCTCGGCGATAACCTCGCCAAAGCCGTCGACGACGCACTGGATAACCCCATTTACACCCAGAGCGTCGCCAGTATCGATTTTCCGTCTCTCCACTGGCCACCATCGTTTATCGACCCAGACTCGTCGCGGACCTCGCAAGACGCTAAAGAACGTGCATATTATGCGCATATCGGTCTTTCGGTGCTATGCCAGGTGGTCTTCCTCATCCTTGTGGACAATGTGCGCAATCAGCCAGTCGGCTACGCACAAGCAAAGGTTCATCTCACTCCTCCTTCGCCTACTAAGCAAGTCCTTCCCAGGCGTTACAGAAAGCGGTTCAGAATCACGACGTCCTCGCCAAGCTCCTCACCGAATTGGACCCCAAAACCGTTGAATTTGTGGGACGGGGCTCAAGGATTTTACGCGTTCTTTGGCGTCCTTTGGACCACGCTGAGCAGGGAAACGGACCGCATAGCCACCCTGACGCGCCC